TCCCAGAATGACTCAACTACACGACTTAGCTGCCACTCAAGACTTCGCGATGGACCGGGAGCAGCTGACCACCGCTCATGCGGGTACTTGGGATCCAGACCAGGCTTCGCAGATTCTCACCGGAGAAGCACTCCTCTCCTGCTTTGCCTTTTTGGCTATGGCGTCGGATGATCCGAATGCAAACTTGCCACTCTTGTTGCAGGTCAATGGGATGAGGCTTGAGGAACCGGAGCCAGCCGACTCTGCGGTGGAGAACACAGGCGAGCGCGTGTTCTTTACGACTACTGCTCGTGATTTCAGTGGCTCGTGCAAAGTCGGCGTATCACAAGCGGCAGCCTTCGCCTTGTCTGGCATTGACAGCATGCAAGAATTCAAAAAAGTTCACGACGAGAAAGCTATCTCCTTCCCTCCACTGAGCAATTGTCGCATCATACGACGCGTGCGCAATGTGGCTGCGAATGCACAGGATGACACACCTCAACGGACTTTCGTCAACACGACTGTGGTGGCCGTTTCACCGCTTCAGATATCGCACGCCCCGAATACGTCGTACAATGTCGTCTTGGAGATCCTGAAGCAGTGCCGCGAGAGCCAGGATGCAATGCTCGCGGCACAGCTCTCTGAGATACGGTCTTGCCCCTTCTACGGCATGCGCGTGCAGTACTCTCCAGCGGGTGGAGGGGGTGACGCTTCTCAGCTTACCCGGAACTGCCACTTGGCAGTCGTTCTCGTTCGTACCACGCAGAAGTCTCGGTGCGTATCCACTGCGGCTGGCTTCGTCGTGTCCACACCAGGTGTCACGGACGCTTCTGACGGTGAGTGTTCCCACTCAGTGACGATTCACGGACATTGCTCAGTTGACAACTTGCTCTCGTTCAACATGGATCCGCCCAACCGAGCGAAGCACAGAGTCTGCTTGTTGCTCATTACTGGCTGTCCAAAAGATGGCATGACGGTGCACAGCGTGACCCACATTGACGACTCCGTCGTGTCTGAGGCGCAGTACTTCATTAAAAAATTGAGAACACTGGGGATGCGCACAGAGCTTCAGCAATCAGGCGAGCAAAAGCGGATGAATGAGTGGAGCACGACGCCGGAATCCGCCAAGAAGTGCCGCATTCTTGAAAGCCACCCCTCAGGAGAAAGCTTGAGGTGAGCTTTCTCCTGTCTTGTCAGCGATGCTTCTCAGCTTGCTGGACATGGCAAGCATCTTAGTCTTGCGCCTTGCGGGATGCCAACTAGGTTTGCCTCAAACATATCGTTTGGTAGTTTCGTTGTTTATGCGGTGCTTCTCAGCCTGCACTATTTACTGTTGTGGCGTCTGGTGCACGAATAGTGTTTGCGGCCTGCATTCCTCCTCAGCCTGCCCTGGCTCCCTTGAGAGCGCCTGCACAGAGTTTCGGTCTGTGCTCACGTTGCCCAACGGATTCATTCACCTTCGCCCGCGGTGCTTCTCAGCCTGCACTTCCTTTGCTACAAGCGCCTGTTCTGCAGTCGTTCACAGTGTCTCGTTTACAGAGAATTTCGGTGTTTGAAAAACAAAACAATTCTTCATGTGTTTCTGTGGAATCTAAATCAGGTCATGGCCGTGCTTCATTGCAAGACAACCCCCATGTTCGTAGCAGTGTCGAAATCAGACGTCGTTGAGTTATACAAGCGTTGATAGCAGTGTCTCGTTTTCAAACGCCTCATTGTATATCAACTCTGGTTGTGCCTCATTTCAAGACACCTTCCATGTGCGTAGCAGTGTCGGTATCAGAGGTTCCTCCACAACGAATTTCCCTCATCACCATCATCATGATCAAGGTCTCCCTAGCCATGTTGCCTCGAGCTATCCTTACAAAAGGAACTTTCCAGCACCCACTGTACACAGTAATGCCGCGGCATGCTGGTAGCTCTCGGTCTGGGCGCCATGCTCCTGACGTTTCTGCACCCAACAGCGGTGCTCCTCAGCCTGCTGCAGTGAGCAGTGCCCCTCCTCAGCGTGCTGCGTTGAACGGTACTGTCCAAAGGATTGTTGACCTGGTGAAGGAGTTCGGTCGTATACCGAGGCGAAAGAAAGGAACGTCCGAGGAAGTACGAGCTGAAAACAAGTTGGCCAAACGTTTCTCCGACCACCGCGACAGCATTCCTAATGACGTTATGTTAGAGTTGCAAGCCCTCGAATGCGCCACGCCTTCAGAGTCAGCCGCTGTCAGCGCTGCCCTTCAGCGTTCTGATGCTCCTGGCGTTTCTGCGCCCAACAGCGGTGCTCCTCAGCCTGCTGCAGTGAGCAGTGCCCTTCCTCAGCGTGCTGTGTTGAACGGTACTGTCCAAAGGATTGTTGACCTGGTGAAGCAGTTCGGTCGTATACCGATGCGAAAGAAAGGAACGTCCGAGGAAGTACGAGCTGAAAACAAGTTGGCCGAACGTTTCTCCGACCACCGCGACAGCATTCCTAATGACGTTATGTTAGAGTTGCAAGCCCTCGAATGCGCCACGCCTTCAGAGTCAGCCGCTGCCAACGCTGCCCTTCAGCGTTCTGCATTAAGCGGATCTCTGCAAACGCTCGTCGAGGACGTGAAGCAGTTCGGTCGTATACCGATCAGAAATCATGGAACGTCTGAGGAAGCACGAGCCGAAAACAACTTGGCCAAACGTTTCCTTGAACACCGCGAGAGCATTCCTTGTGACGTGATGTTGGAATTGCAAGACCTCGAGGAGTCACGCGCCGTCAGCGCTGCTGCTCAGCGTGCTGCAACCGAGGAGTTCAAGCGGAAGCAGAAGACCGATGAGCTCCTGCAGCAGGTGCGCGAATTCGGCAGCTGGCCGAAGGAGATCGCTCAACGCCCGCTTGCAGAGCGGCAGTTGGCTTGGCACATCCGAAAAACACGGAAGGCCAAACATTTCTCACCGGAGCAGGAGGCCGAGCTTCAAACTCTGCAGCGGGCGGATACGAAGCCCGTCGGGCTCATGCAGCAGACGAAGATCGAGGAGGTCATGCAACAGGTGCGAGACCTCGGCCGCTTTCCGATGGAGTCCGCCGGGCGTAGTGTTGCAGAGCGGCAACTAGGCTGGCTAGTTCGGAAAGCACGGAAGGCCAAGCAGTTCTCCCCGGAGCAGGAGGCCGAGCTCCAGGCCCTCCAGCAGTTGGAGACCGATGACACAACAGCGACTCGCAACGCGGAGGCGGAGGCCCTCCCAAACCCCATGGAAGGGTTCGCTGACGAGGCGCAGAACAGGATCGACCAGGACCTGCTGATGCTGGAGAGTGGCATCCGGACCAAGGCAATCCTGCGGCGCCTTGCCGTCTACAAGGAGCTGGTGTCCAGCCGCGGTGCTACTCAGCCCGCGCAGCTCAGAGAATTCGTACAGCGGTACGCGGAGCGGGTGCGCAGGGCGTCGGCCGCTTCCGCGGGGAAGACCTGCTACGTTCCCGGCGGTGAGGTGGAGGGGGGCCAGCTGCGCGTCTTCTCCGCCCGCCCCGTCATGACGGGGCCGCTCGTGTGCCAGCTCTGCGAGTGCGACTTTCTTACAGAGGAGGACTTTGCGCGGCATAAGCAGCAGGGCCACGCGGGCGAGGCGGAATACCGCAAACGGGTGCTGTTCCTGATGACAGAGGCCGGCTGCAGGCCGATAGCCGCCCAGGAGAAGAGGATCATGGTGCAGAATTTTGCTCACTTCCAGCAGTTTTGTCACCCGGGCAGCAAGGGCAACCGCTTCTCGGGCGGCGAGGCGGCGCCCCGATGCGAGGCAGCCTGCGTAGTCTGTGCGCAGAAAGACTACCTGGAGCGCCGCCACAAACTGAGCCTGTTTGGGGCAGTGCCGGAGGAGCGTGTCTTTGAGCACTGCGCCGACTCAGCAAGCGATCGTGATGACCTATCCGATGGCGAGGCAGATGCTCCACCCAAGCGTGCTCTGGTGAAGCACCGCGGGGTGTACTACTTGCAGCCCCCGGAGCTCGTGCAGAAACTCCTGGACGTGGACAGGTGCAGGCAGCGGTGGCCACTGATCCCGTGTGAACAGCTGCGCGCGTCCAGCGTTCAGCATCCGGAGCACCCAGAGTGGCGGTGGCTGCTGCACTCCCGCCGAGTCCCTGTGGTTGCACCACCTGAAGCAACGGCGGGAACCTGCGGTGCTTCTCAGCCTGCTGCCGACAAGTCCGGCGGAGCTTCTCAGCCTGCGGACGAGAGGCCTCCGTGCGCAGGGGTGGGAGATGCCAACGCGTTGGTGTGGGTGTGTTGGGATTGCCTCAATGACCTGTGCGCCAAGAAACCGAAGATGCCGTTAAACGCCCTGGTCAACGACAACTGGATCGGCCGGGAGCTCATGCTCGTCCGCAACGCTTCGAAAGCTACTAAGATGCTGGCGTCCCTTGGCCGATGCTGTTGGAAGCAAGTCCGCCTCGGCAAGAACGCTCCGGATGTCCAGCAGAAAGGCATCTCGGGCAACGCTATCCTCTTCGCCCAGCCCACGGCGCAAATCCCGACCATGGAGCTGCCCCCGGAGCAGGGCGCGCTTGTGGACTCTCTGAACATCGTTTTCTCGGGCGCCGCGCACAAACTCCACAAGGCGTTCTGGGCAACAGTCAAGCGCGGCG